TTATGGGGAAATTTGATTTGGTTCGCGACCAGAATCGTGGAACGAATTAAGTTCGTGAACCAAGGTACCACTGTAACAGAAAAACTTTATTGGTTACAATGTATGTTTGGTCTGCCTCACATGCACATACACTCATCCTCACTTACCCACATTTTTCTCATCTAGGCTGCCAGACACTAGCTAGAGGGATAGAAGCTGCCAAGTCTGGATCCAAAAAACAACTCAAGGAGTAGGCAGGCTTCAGGACCCCTTTTATCCCCCAAAGTTCTTGCTTTGTTGATTAGCTGGGATTGGGGATTTTTCCATGTGCTCAGGCCCAGCTTCCTTTATCTGGTTCAGGTGACATTTTTCCTTCTGTTTCCTTAACAACTTATTTCCTTCTTATGTTCCTCCAAGGAATCTTTTAAACAAGATTCCTGATTTTTTGTCTTCTCTGCCTGCTTCATCTTTAGGTTATGGCAGCTTCAGCCATAGTCTCACAGTAGTGAGAAGAAAAATGAGTTTTCATCCTGCTCAAGATAAATGAACAGTGTTTTTCTTCTTATCTCTTACTAGGTTAATTTTGAAGAGTTTAAGGAAGGTTTTGTGACCATATTGTCTTCAACTATTAATCTTGGCCTTTCAGATGATGAGAGCAGCTACCTGGAGCCAGGTGAATGAATAATGAGATGCTTGAAAATAGGCTAGACATTTTCTGCTTTAAGTTTGGCTGTGATATAGATTAGCCATCAAATGATGTATCTTATTATGACATGCTGCATGATGGACTACTAATAAAACATGATTAGCAAAGACTACTTACTGATGTTGTCTGTACTGATTGATTTCTGAAAATTAAAGAGTAAGCTATTCTGTAATTAAACCAGTGGTATTTCTGTTAATGAAACTCCCAGGGATAAAAACACAATAGTTGCTCCTTTGGAGATATATGTTTCTCAAGCTTGTACATGAACAACATTTTAAATGGTTGCCTCTATGTCCTTTCATATCTAGCAGCTAACATAAAGTTTGTGCTTATGGGAATGGGATACTAACAAGAGGAGTGGTGGCATGCTCTGTCTAATTAACTGTTGTATATTCTACCTTTTGGGGGGGAGTTCAGGGCAGCTTACATAGGGTCTCCCCTCATTTTATCTCACAATGCTCCTGTCAGGTAGATTGGATTGAGAATGAAAGGCTACTACAAAATCATCCACTGAGATCCATGGCTGAATAGAAACATGAACCTGGATCTCCTCAATATTATTCCAACAGTTATATTTCTTGATGTCAACATTTACTTATTTTCTATGTCTTCTACTGCTTTAGCATAATAGATGTAAGAAAGGAAAGTGATGAGCTACACCTGGAAGAAAAAGGAAGTTTAATTTGAGACAGCAACTGGGTACTGCTGTAAGGCATGAAATCCTTGTAACAGCAACTGGGAATGAGTTCTAGCAATAGTGGAAAAAGTGAAGGATTATTGGGGCAGTAATGTTAGAATTGGCCAAAACAAAGAAAAGAAAAAGTGTTGGATCAGATCCAAAGGCCTGCCTATCCATCCTTCTATTCTATCGTGGCCAACCAGATGGCTTTAGGAGGTTTCATGAGTGGACTAGCTGTTAAATGTACCTGTGACAGACTCCCAGTTATGCTCACCAGCTCTGGGTCTAGTTCCATTGTGAAAATTTTGAATGAAAACTTTGACCACTATTAAAGAGCACATAGAGTGGAGTCATGTATAAGTAGCTTACAGTCAGCATAGGTGGGCCTCACAGCCCAAGATTTTGAATTCATCGTTTGTTGGTTATGTTTTTAAAAAATTTATTTGGGATTAAAAAGGAAGTGGAGAGGAGGGGAAATATCCCCATTACTGCCTGTAATAGAACTAAAAGTATTTCCAACTCAGTTATTCCAGATGAGATTGAGCCCAAGTACATCACCAAGGCCAAAAGGTATGGCCGCCGGACAAGGCCAGAACTTGAAAGTACCAAGTTGGAAACCCCCAAATATTTACAAGAGGAGCAGAGAAAGGCAAATGTTAAAAGTCAGCTGAGGCGTTCAACTTCTTTGGAGAGTGTGGAGGTAAGGTATTTGAAGATCTTCCAGCTATTTGAAATAGACGTGTTGGATTTTATTGCCTCTCTTGTGTTTCCCTGATTGTTTCTTTTGTTAAATTTGTGATGTCTTGGACTTGACGAAAGAAGTAGCCATCTCAGTCTCTGAGAATTCTTTAATTATTCTGATCTCTTCTGGATGCTCAGGAAATGCCCCAAACCTGGTTGGTATTCAGTAATAAAGACATGGCTTTTCAGAGTCAAAATTCGATGATTCCTAATTTGGCAGCCTCTGCATAGATGAGTTATACAGATAGTCCACGCTTAATGACTGCCCTGTTTAGCAACTGTTCAAAAGTATGATGGCACTGAAAAAGTAACTTTACGACTGGTCCTTGCACTTGATTACTTCCGCAGTGTCACCATGGTCACGTGATCAAGATTCAGGCACTTTGTAATCGGCTGGTGTTTACGACCATTGCAATGTCCCACAGTCATGTGATCACCATTTGCATACTTCACAGCTGGCTTCTGACAAGCAGAGTCAATGGAGAAACCAGAAGTAAAATCACAAGTTGTGGTCATGTGATGTCTTGCTTAACAACCGTGTTGCTTAATGATGGAGTTGCTGGTCTCAATTCTGGCTGTTAAGCAAGGACTACCTATACTGGGAAAAATGAAACTTTTACTAGTCTATGAACAAACATACCATGTGTAAGATTAGTGCTTTTGGAGAAAGGTTGTTTCTGATTTTTAGAATTGATCATTTCTGGACTGTGACAGTAATGGTCACCCACATGGCTGAATGCTCCTCTATTCAGAATAAATGTCCTTGCATGGAAAAGTAGCGTGGCCGGGAGAAAGTGTCTAGCTCAGCCTTTGTCCATCGTGTGCTAGTTTTTTATATTGGTAATTTGTGTAGGAAGAGTCAGTCGAAAGACACCTCACCTGTGTTTTAAATGCCATATTCTTTCTCTCCTCCCACTACCTGATTTGATTGAGAGAAGTCTTTGGAAGAGGAGTTTCAGTGACATGAGTAGAAGCAGAGTGAGGAGTTTGTAAACCCACTTTTCTCAAGGAGGGTCACATCTAGATCTCTCCAGTCCTAATCCAACACACTATCCATTGCCCTGCATTGTATCTCATGTTACAGAATGTTACTGAAAGAAGTCAAATGCCAGTGGGAAGCATGGTTAAACTGAAGTTGTATTGGCAGTTGTATTGTATTTCACGCAGTCTTCACCCTTGCTTTGTCATTTGTCTTTTTTTTGCCCTTCATTCTTGGCTAGTGGTCTGAATTTATGAAACATTTAATCCTGTTCTCTTTTTTAGAGTCTCAAATCAGATGAAGAGGCTGAAAGCTCAAAAGAACAGCAGCAGCAGCAGTTTGAGGGCCAAGGTGGGATTCAGCAAAAAAGTGTGTAGAAACATTCAAACATATTTTTTTTATTGCTTCTTTTCTTGAAGTTCCACTTTTGCCATCTGATTCAGTAGGTGAGTTCAGAGTGAAGTTCTCATTGAAAGGCAGAGTACATTCTTTGGAGACAAAAGTTCCCAGATTCAAATCCTGCTCTCCAGCACTAGCCAGAGTGGATAGGAATGGGTGAACTTATAGACTGAATCTGTGGAAGGCAACCCAAGCATATCAATAGATCTATTTATCTAGTTTAAGTATGTGGAATTTCTGGCCTGGCCACAAAGATCCTCCATCTTGACCACAAGGAAGCCCTTTCTTATCTCAAAGCCTTGATTTTCCCCTTTTCTGCACATCTGAACCCATATTCTTAGGGAAAAAGTCTCAGAAGGAAACTAGCTCTTCTTTCCTCAACGCTTTGAGATCCTTCTTAAGTATTGCCACCGGTGCTTTACCAAGGCTTTAAAATAGCTTTCTTTGTCAGTGGGGGCCATTTTGTATAGGAAAGTCCAAAATCACACATCTGCAGGAGTGTTTTCTCACTCACTTTGGACAGTGGTCCCACCTACTGCAGGCTGACCCTCAGGCTGAAGCAGATTCCCCATTGCCAAACTTGTCACTCAGACAAGAACATCAGTCCATTTTCCTCTAAGGCCTGTGAAGTGGTCACTGGATCTGTGCTTTACATGCAGCTTGAGAAGCTGGGTTATTAAAGCTAGTGATGGAGAGATCAATATAAATTTGAATTGCATTTTTCAGTATTCTGAACTTTTGGGTTTTCTAATAAATTAGAAGTAGTACATAAAAAGAAAATCTACAATGATCACTTTCCATAATTTTCCCTATTACATTAGTTTTGAGTGCAGTTCCTTTTTCTGTGTATAATTATTTCACATAAAATCCCTGAGAAGCTCTTTTCTTTGTTTGCATTTTTCTGATGTCATTTTGTAGCTCCTTTAATGTATTTTGTTTCTCTGATGCAGTTTTATGTAATACAAAATATGGTGCTGAACTGCTCCAGAGGCTCTTTGGGAAAGGCAAAATACTGAGCAGCCAACTTCCATTCACTTTCATCCACTTGCATCTCTCCAAAGGATGGGCAAAGCCAATTCCTTAATAACCATCCATGTTTTTTTTTAAACATCAGGGCGATTTTTGTAACAAAGAAAGACTGGGTTTGGTTAGATTCTGGTTTACTGTGTCTTGCAAATCTGTGGTGCATTTCTTTTACATCCATACTTAGAATTAAATAGGGGGAGGAAGAGAGTGGAGATAAAAGAATCTGTTTCTGATATTTTTGAGTATTACTGAAAAAATCCAATATTATAACTGTAAATATTTAACAAAGTTCCCATGGATAATGGAAATGCAGAATTAAGGGATTGGAGAAAAATTCAGGAGGAATAGAAATTTAATCCAATTTCCAGTTAAGGACGTATACTGTATAACGAGCAGTCATTGTAAGAACAACAGAATAATTAGAAGTATAGCTCTTGTCAATGTAAGTTTAATCTTTTGTAGGTCAGATGTGTACCTGGGATGATAACCTGATTGACAACCCTAGAGAAGTTCCCACCTTGTATTTGAACATGTCTGAGAATCAGATTCAGGTTACTTGGGAAGATCTTGGCATTGGAAATAATGGATACCTCAACAAACAAGAGCTGGCTGCTGTTTGTAAGAACATTGGACTCAAAGAGATGGAAAAAGAGGTGGGTTAAACTTGGCTTTTGGAAATTCTCATCTCAGAAAAGGTACTTGATGACTGAATGTGAAAATGGTGGCTACACATGGAATATGCAGCATTTTGGCAGTGCCTCTTAAGTGTACAAAGTATTCTACTTGCATTGCTTTGGCAATTATAATTACTCCCTTCAAATAGTAGCTCAGTATTTTAAATAAATCTGAAAAAGCTTTCTTATTTATATATGCTATGTGTTATATTTACATCTTGTCTATCTTGCAAGTGGCTATTTCCCTCCTGTGTTTTATTCTCATAGCTTCTAAAGTATGAAAGGCTGGAAGGAAGAGCAGTGGCTTATAATCATCCAGTAAACTTCATGGTCAAATGGGGATTGGAACCTAGATTGCCTTGGAGTGGGAAACTGATTCAGGCCCATAGTCTGAATCAGTGTTTCTCAACCTTGGCAGCTTTCAGATGAGTGGACTTCAACTCCCAGAATCCCCCAGCCAGCAGGTTTGGCTGGAGAATTCTGGGAGTTG